AAATGAATTAGAACTTAAGAAGAGGAAAATAACTTACAGGTAATGGTGAGGTGGTGTTTGCACTGAGAATTTCCGTTCTTTTTAAGTTTCAGATTTGGAGTTTGAGAATCTTTGGTCTAAGAGAAGAAACTCCTATGCACCCAAATAAATGTCCCTATATTCTTAATATGTTTAAGATACCTTCTGATGTGTGTCAGAGGGGGAAAAATAAGGAATTACTAATATTCGAGAAGGTAGGAAGTTAGAGAGGAAATGCTTACTACCTTGGCCTCCCTGGTTCCCTACTAATGACAAATGACTGACTGTTCTGCAGACTTATAAAGTAAAACATTAATGAAATCATTTCACCCAGGAATTCCTGTTTTGTGATCACCAGCTGGCAAAGCAGAGATGCAATTATTAGGTTATTAAGTATGGAATGTTTGATTTCCTTAAGTACTAAGTTTGACAGTTGTTATCTCTGACATTTCACTTTGACACCTCTTTTTTTTTTTTTATTGTGAAGGTACATCCTCATTCTTTCAAATGCAGTCTTTAGCTTGTGATTATCTGTCAAAAATATATTTTTTAAAGCAATTTTTGTGAAACTACGGATAAGTCAAAAACTCGTATCATTTTTGAATATGAGTTCCTGTGTGGAACCAATGCAGTGCAGACAGCTCTAAATATCAACAAAGCGCTTGGGAAGGACTTGGCTAATGAATGCGCAGTACGTCAATAGTATGAGAAGTTCCATTCTGCTGATTTTAATCTTGAAAATGAGCCATGTGGGTGACCTGAGACCAAGGTGGATAATGATGAGCTGAAAGCTGTTGTGGAAGTGAATCCATCTCAACCTACGCATGAATTAGCCGCAAGGTTTGACGTTGCTATCCCAACTCTATTGGACCATTTGAAACAAATGGGCAAGGTAAAGAAGCTGGATAGATGGGTACCGTATAATTTAAATGAGGGTCAGAAGAGAAATCGTCTCAAAGCTTGCCTTTCTTTGCTGTCATGACATAAAGGCAAACAATTTCTACACTGTATTCTTACATGTGATGAAAAACGGATTCTTTTTGACAATTTCAAGTGTTCGGCACAGTGGTTGGATGAAAGTGAAGTGCTGAAACACAGTCCAAAACCGAATATTCATCAAAAAAAGCTAATGAATGTTGTTTGGGGGTCCAGCTCTGGTATTATCTACATAGCTTCATGAAACCTGGTCAGTCAATTACAGCAGAGTCTACTACAACCAATTGGACTAAATTGGATACTTGTAATTAAACAGTCGAGATTGGTCAGTAGAAGCAGGCCAATCCTCTTGCAAGACCACATGTTACAAAAAACAACGCTGCTCAAACTATAGAAGCTGGACTTGGAAACTCTCTGTCATCCGCCATATTACCAGACCTTGCACTAACTGACAACCACTTCTTCCAGGCTTTGGTCCACTTCTTGCAAGGAAAAATATTTAATTCTCAACAAGCTGTGGAAAACACCTTTCATGATCTCATCACCACTCACTCTCTAGGCTTCTTCATTGCTGGCGTAAACAAGCTACCATTATGATGGCAGAACTATGTCGATACTTTAGGCACATACTTTATTAATTGTGCTGCTTCTTGTTTGAGATATAATAAACTAAACTTTTGATTTGTGACTGGACATTTCATATTTAATAACCTAATACTTTGGAAGCAGGTAGCTATCTTCTCCAGGGGTTTGGAATATGGCAAGCTATTGCTTCTTAGCTTTATACTACTAATAGTAACTTACGTGTTCTATGATTTTGCAATTGCAAAATATATTGAGATAACTAGAATAAAAATTTGACTATATCCTAAATAAATATTTTATTTATCAATTAAATGATGGTAAAAAATATCTAATAGCAGAAGTACATTAAGATAAACTTCATGATTGATTTGGTGTCAGCTTACTTTGGAATTTCACAAAAAGTCAGTTACTTTGAGTTTCCCTGTAATACACCATGTTTCACACCTTCTTAGAATTTAGGTTAGTTGATGCCATGGGACCAAAAGAAGCTGGATTACTTCCTCTGGGGATAGAAGTTTCTAAGTTCCTTACCTTGAATAGACATTGACATGAAGCTCTTGGACTTTAACATGTCTTCTCAACCTTTCTCTCTTTGGAAATTATTTTATAAGTAGAGTTGTGAGTTGTGCACAATGATTTGTTCTAGGTTTTGTCTCTGTCTGCTATTTCAGGCTTAGAAATCCCTGTTAGAGAATATACAGTGAGGAGATTTATTCTTTCCAGTTTAAGCACCTCTGGCCCTTAATTAATCAAAGCAAATAGATTCAATGGAGCCTAGAAAGTTGAGATGCCCAGGGCTAAATTTTTGGAGAGGGAAGCCTAGAGAATTGGTTCAATGAATATTTATTGAACAAACGTTTATTGAATATCTATTGTGTTTCAGATGCTATTCTGGGAGGTAGAAGTGCAGCAATGAACAACAAAGTCCTTGCCCACAAGGCATTTCCATTCCAGTAGAGACTTACAATTAAAAAATAAATAAGCAGCAACAGTGTATATTCTATAATGCTAAGTAGATAAGTGCTAGAAGAAAGAAAAACAGTGCATGTTAATAGAGAGGAATGGAATGTCTGCTATTTTATAAAATGTGCTTAGGGAAGGTTGAGCTTCAAAGGAGACAATTGAGCAGGAGCCAATAGGTTGAGGGAGCAAGCTGTGCAAATATTCAGGGTGAAGAGGGAGAAATGATTTAGCCAAAACAAATAATTGCTAATATTGGAATTTTAAGAGGGTTAGATATTTTAGGGGTGGGCATCTTCTAGACCATAGCCAATAACATCAGTCTTTTAAAAAAAAAACAAAAAAAAAAAAAACAGGCAATCATTCCATACTCTGAATGATAAGGCAACAGTTGGAAAAAGAAAGAACAGAGGGCCTGGATTCAGAAGACCCGAGTTCAGGCCTTTGAATTGCCTTTTACTAGCTGTGTGGCCTCAGGTAAGTCATCCACCTTTGAATACCTAATTTAACCTGTCATAATTGGGAGATTATAATAAATGGAAACTGGTGTGTGTGTCAGGCACACCATACTGAGTCCTTACACCCGGGGGGTAGGAATTATCATCCTTATTAAGAGATAATTATATGCTTCCCTAAGATTTAATTTCATTTCTATCTTGGAGGTGTGATGTGAAAGCACTTTGTAAACTGCAAGGTACTATCCCGTGGTCAGCTGTCACACATGGTACAGCACCACACTGCAAACTACAGTGTGTGTACTCTTGGGGTCATGAAGCCACCAAGCAGATCTGAATCTATTTTCTCTGGGTGTAAATTTTACCCTATAACAAATACTTTAAAACACTTTTTAAGGAAAAAGATATTATGGGGTAAAATGCAAATTTTACATTTCCAAGATAAAAACTTCAGAGAAATAGCTGTGTCTTAGTTTTCTCAGATATAAAATGTGATTAAAATGTGATTGTTATTCTACAAAAGGGTTCTAGGAAGACTAGTTTCTTTTTGACAGGTAGAAAGCATGCCAAGCTGACTGTTTATCACACTGTAGATACTTAACAAAGGACACTTTCCTTCCTTGCTTTCATCAGTAGCACTTGGACAGTTGGGCAGCTTTCTCATTCCAAATATTTCAAATGGATTCCTGATTCTGAGAATGATACTGATAATGGTTTTAGTTTCCACTTATGAACTCTACATGTGTAAGGAGAGCTTCTCCAGCCCTTACTTGCCTATAAAAATTATAAGGCCATGTTAACCGTAATCATTTAGAATTTATTAACATTGACTGTACTGATGGGGGTATTCAGCCTCCCCTAAAACTCACAATCAGTTGTTTTCATATCATAAACATCCTCTCTTCTTCTTTGGCTTATGTCTTCCTATGTCACTGTTTCTGGAAGTCACTCATTACTAGTAATGTCAAACACCTTCTTTTATATTTATTGGATATTTGAGTAGATTGCTCATTCATAATTTTTGCCCATTTTTTCAGAAATACCATTTATCTTTTTCTTACTGATACACGGTTCTCTATATATTTTCTTACTGATACATGGTTCTCTCTATATTTATATTCCTATATAAGGAAAAGAAGTTATATACACTGCAGATATCTTCTCAGTTCTTGCCTTGTATTTTCACTTTGTTTATTCTGTGTGTGTGTGTATTTTTCCTACAAAGAAATTTAGAATGTGAATGCAATCAAATTTAACAAAATTTTTCTCTCTGGTTGTCATTTTTGTGCCTTTTTTAAGAAACCCTCTCCTACCTTAACGTAATGAGTAGTTCTCTTGAGATTTCTTCAACATCATTATGGTTCCTATTTAGATATTTAATACAGCTAGTCATGTATTTTGTATACGATATGAGATAAAGATCCAGTATTATTATTCTTCACATATGTTGTCATTTTTACACTTTTTTTTTTTTTTTTTGAGACAGAGTCTCACTTTGTTGTCCAGGCTAGAGTGAGTGCCATGGCGTCAGCCTAGCTCACAGCAACCTCAAACTCCTGGGCTCAAGCTATCCTTCTGCCTCAGCCTCCCGAGTAGCTGGGACTACAGGCATGCGCCACCATGCCCAGCTAATTTTTTATATATATATCAGTTGGCCAATTAATTTCTTTCTATTTATAGTAGAGACGGGGTCTCGCTCTTGCTCAGGCTGGTTTTGAACTCCTGACCTTGAGCAATCCGCCCGCCTCGGCCTCCCAAGAGCTAGGATTACAGGCGTGAGCCACAGCGCCCGGCCCATTTTTACACTTTTTATAGTTGGCCATCCTTTCCTTGTGATTTTTATTGCCACTCTGGTAATATAACATGCTTTTAATTTATGTGTAGTTCTATTTCCACACTGTATCTATTAGTTGATTTCTCTTTGTGCCACTATCATATTGTTTTAATGATTATACATTTATGTTAAGTATTGATATATAGTAAGGATAGTGCTTTCTAATAAACATTTTCAACTTATATATTTTTGTCTTTACTATATTTACTTAGGTTTTAGGATCATCCTGATAAGTTCTACAGAAAGCCCTTTGAGATTTTGCACGGAGTTTATAGATTAATATGACAAAGTTAGTATCTTCATTTTATTGATTCTTCTCATTTAAAATATCACATATATATCTGTTTAATAGGTCTTTTAAATCTTTCAATAAAGTTTTATAATGTTCTCTTTATAGCTCTTAAATATCTTTTTAGGTGTTCTTAAGTACTTTGTAGTTTTGCTGTTATTGGAAAGTGTGTTTTTTGTTCAATATTTTTTTTGTTGGAGTGTTACTGAAATAAATGCATTTTATATATAATCTTATATTTAGAAATATCATTGAATTATTTTTTATATTTTATATATTATTTTGGATATTATACATAGAAAATCACATTACGCAATGTGGTATTGGCAACAAAATGGAGAAATAGATTAATGGACAGAATAAAGAACCCAGAAATAGACCCACTTATATTTGGACAACTGATTTTTGACAAAGGCACAAAACCAAGTCTCTAAAGAAAGGATAATCTTTTTAACGTATGATTCTGGGAAAATCCATATCCATGTAAAAAAAAAAAAGAACTTTGCATCATACATCCCTCCATATATAAAATAATGTAAAATAGGTCATAGACCTAAATGGAAAAAGACCAAATTGTAAAATTTCTAGAGGAAAACATAGAAGAAAATCTTCTAATCTTGAGATTGGAAAAGATTTCTTAAATATGACACCAAAAGTATGCTCCACGCAGGAACAAATAGATTAATTATACTTCAAGTATATGCATGTGCCAAAAATTACCAAACTGTATGCTTCAAGTATAGGCACTGTTTTGTATGCCACTTATGCCACTGTAAATCCGTATTAAAGGTAAGAAGAGAATCTGTCCTGTTCTCTGAGAATTCCAGAGGCATTGTATACTCTCTGAAGACATGCTTCCCAAGAATAGTGACTGTCTTTCTTAAGAAGTTCATGCTTGTATTTCACCCAAATCTCTTTTACCATACTGAAAACATGTTGTTTAGATTCCCTTTAAATTAACAACTCACCTTGCCTTATTTTGAATGTAGAATCCTTTAGGTGTGTAATGTTATATGTTTCGATTTCTTATAGGCTGATCCCAACGTTGTGAAATGGAGAGTAAATATAAGGAAATACTGTTACTGAATGGCCTGGATCAAATCGATGATGAGGAATTGCTTAGGTTTAAGTTCTTTCTTCCAGATGAGTTTGAATTTACTATCCCTAAGAGCAAACTGAATACTGCAAACAGGATAGAGGTAGCTAACTTGATGATTCGAATTGCCGGTGTGGTGTCTGCGGTGATGAAGACCATTAATATTTTCCAGAAGATGAATTACATGGACCTGGCAAAACGTCTTCAGGAAGAGAAGGAGAAAGGTAATGTGGGAGTACCCCACCTGCCCACTGCCTTTCTCTGCCAAGCCTCAGCCTTTCCTTTCCTGACCTCAGCGGGAAAAGCCCCGCCCCCCCTCCTTGTTGCAATTTGTGAACTTAGTGCACCTGCCTCTTTGTCCCTTCCTGCTGCATATCACTTCTAGGAAGTCTTTGTTACAAACTCCACAAATCCATTCCAGCATTTGTTTCCCATCTCTTGTTCCAGCCCTTGGGGCTACCACTTAGCCATCTCATCATCTTTTCACTTTGCCTGTCTCGCCTCCAGTCTACTTGCAGTGAACATGGACACAGAATTTCAACGTTAACGTCTCAACCCCAATCCCCATTCATACAGTGGTATTGCTCTCACATTTTATTGAAGCCTTGAAAATAACATAATTATAGCAATGGAAAATGGAAACTGGGATATTAGGCACCTTTGTCTGTTCCTCTCCGTTCCCCAGACAGTCCTCCTTTCTTCAGGGGATAATCCTGTCTTTCTAATTCAGGGATTCTCTCTCCTCTCCAACACAGGTGACAATATAAATTCCCCTCCCCACAAAGACTGGGTTTTACATTATTCAATAAATCACTGATCATCTCTTTCTAAAGTATCTATACTTGATTTAAATTCCTGATTTTGTTCCCTAAGAGCAATTGGTATATCCTGGCTTTACATCTGACTTACTAAAAAGAGCAAACGAGCATCTCACCCAAAGACTCTCCCAAATGAGAGACTCCAAAAGTTTTAGGATTAATGTACAACAGTTTTAACCACAAAAATTACAACGGCTTTTTTTTTTTTTTTTAAACTAGAACTCACTCTGTTGTCCAGGCTAAAGTACAGTGGCATCATCATAGCTTACTGCAACCTCAAACTCCTGGCCTCAAGTGATCTTCTTGTCTCAGCCTCCAAAGCAGCTGGGACTACAGGTGCAAGCCACCATGCCCGGCTGATTTTTCTATTTTTTTGTACAGATGGGGTCTTGCTCTTGCTCAGGCTAGTCCCATACTCAAGCGATCCTCCCTCCTTGGCCTGCCAAAGTGCTGAGATTACAAGCATGAGCCATCACACCCAGCCCAACAACAGCTTTTAAATAGTGTGTGTGTGTGTGTGTGTGTGTGTGTGTACATCACTGACATGGTTTCTCACACATTATTTCTTTGAAGGCTATATGAGATCATTTAAATGATTATATAAAGACATAATTCTATGAATATATAAACTGTTGGGTAGTAAATAAGGCAGTTCAGAGAAAAGACTTATTGTGTCTTTTTATTATTGTTATATTATATATATATATAATGTGTCATTTTATTAATATTTTCCCAGGCTATTTGGTTAGAAGGTGTAGTAGTTCTTAGATATGGCCACAAGATGGCAGCAACTATACATAATTGCATCCAAGTAACCACAGTCCTGTTTTTCCGATCTGGGCAAGAGGCAGGAATCTAGGAGTTGTTGGCAAAAAAAGGCTGAAGATATTTATCTTTTATTTTTCCCTCAAATAAAGAATTCATTCTTCTTTTTGGCCAGGATAGAACCAAATTTCTTGTACTGCAATCTTTCCCCCATTTTGCTATTTTAATAATTCTGGGATTTTATTACCCTAATTAGCTAAGAATGATCCAATGTGAGACCAGGTTGGAAACCCAGGAGTGACTGGCAGCTCTGTGTGCTGTACCAGACGTCAATTAAGTTCCTTTATAGCTTCAAAATTCCATCCAAGGCCATCTTTAGCCCTCCTTTGAATGCAGAAAGTTTATTTGTGCCCCATGCTATCTCTAATAACTATTATGATAGGAAACCAGTTTTTGTTTTCTGTTTCATTTTTCATTCTTTGTTGAATGCTGCATCTCCATAGCCATTGCATGTCTGCACCCATAGTGCTATGTGCTTTCCTACTCACAGCCTCAGCCCATGGAAGGCAGGAGAAAGCTGAAGAAACTTTTTTTTTTTTTTTTTGAGACAGAGTCTCACTTTGTTGCCCAGGCTAGAGTGAGTGCCGTGGCATCAGCCTAGCTCACAGCAACCTTAAACTCTCTGGGCTCAAGCAATCCTACTGCCTCAGCCTCCCGAGTAGCTGGGACTACAGACATGCACCACCATGCCCGGCTAATTTTTTCTATATATATTAGTTGGCCAATTAATTTCTTTCTATTTATAGTAGAAACGGGGTCTCGCTCTTGCTCAGGCTGGTTTCGAACTCCTGACCTCGAGCAATCTGCTCGCCTTGGCCTCCCAGCGTGCTAGGATTATAGGTGTGAGCCACCGCGCCCGGCCTGAAGAAATCTTTAGTAAAGACAGAGGCAATAATCAGTAGATGGGAGAAATTTTTGTGGGAAGAGAAAACAAAAATCTATGAGGACGCTTGAGGCTCGAAAAAGGAAGTTGAGATAGATTGTGATCAAAGTCTAGAGAAGTCCTGTAAGATTAAAATAGAAGGTTGAAAATGATAAATGAAATAAATGAAAAATCTGCACCTGATTATTAAGGAAAATGAGAGGTTTACGGGGCAGATGTGCTCTTCCACAAATTTGTCATGTGTGAGTTGGAGAATGGCAGATGTGATGTGGTAGAATGGTATGTTTATTTCCTTGGCTTCACTAAACACTTGTTTTCTCTCCTATACTGTCAACATAGAAGGGAGATTTTATATGCATGCTTCTCCGAATAGCCAGTTTCATGGAACTAACATACCATTGAAGGTTAGTTTAATTTCTTCCTAGAGCAGAAATCCCTCTACAGTATCCCTGCCAAAAAGTCAACCTGTTTCTGCCCTTTGAAAGGTAATACAGAGAACCTACTCATAAGCTACTCACAAGGCAGCTCATTCTACTCTTAGGTCTAATAATTAAATCATTCTTCTTTCTGATAAAATCGAGGTGATTGCCTTTTTACTTCAGCCCAGAACTGCTCGAGTTCTGCCAGAAATGACATCTAATAATTTCTCATGCCCTCTTCTGCCTGAGAGTGCCTTAAATAATTGTACATGACCATTTTGTTACACGGTATTCTTAAAATCAGGACTAGAGTGTGGCTTTTCAGAATAAAATATAACCTGACCATGGAGTTGGGGGAGCAAAGCAGACTGTACAGCTGCATTATGGTGGTCTTGGGCAGGAACCAGCCTGCCATCCACCCACCCATTCATTTATCCGTTCAATAAATATCTGCTGAATTGCTAATAGGTACGAGGAACTCTCTTAGGTTCTGGTGATAGAACAAGGAGTTAAAAACAAATCCAAGTTGTGTAGAGCTTATACTCTCATGCAGGAGGTAGATTTTTTTCTTAACAGCAAACAAATGAATGTAATAAACTGAGATAAGTACTCTGATGGAAAGGAAGATGGTTCTTTGAGGGTGTGTGTCAGAAAGCCTTAACCTAAGCCAGGATTTAGAACTGGTATTGGTCAGAAGAGGTTTCCCCAGGGAAATGACGCTGGAGCTAAGCTCTGAAAAATGCATAGGTGTTAAAGATGTCTTCAGTCAGAGGGAACACTTTGAGAAAAGGCCCTGTGGCAGCAGGTGTTGACTTGCATGAGGGCTTGAGAGAAGGCCAGTGTGGCCAGAGTACAAAGAACAGCTGGAGGGCAGCATGAGATCCCTTTGGCAGATACACAAGGCAAGGCCTTGTAGAACATGATTAGAAGTCCGTCTTTGTTCTAAGAGAAATCAGAAGTGATTAAATGTTTTAAGCAGGAGCGTAACACCAAATTTGCAATTTGGAGTGATCCTTCTGGATTCTGGATTTGGAGGGTCCACTTTGCCTACCAGGAGAATAACTATTGCCACACATCAGGGAGAGATAATGGTAGCTTTGATTAGCTTATGCAAATGGAAATGAAGGGAAATATATTGAATTGAAATGTGGGAGGAAGAAGCATTACGACTTAGTGATAGATTGGAGATGGAAGTTTAATGAATAGGCATTATTAAGGAGGGTAGTTTGATTTCATTCAAATAATTAAGGTTTCCAGAGTAAAATACACACATGTGTGTTGGACACATGTATATATGATGCGGAAAACGTCGACGCCGGGGATATGGCCGATTGCCGGCTGCCCGGAGTTCCGCATCTCCGGGGGCCAGTGCTGTGCGTGGCCGGTTAGAGGCACGCTGCTGGGGCCGGGCCCCGCGGCTCACAGCCACCCCGGGCACCCGCGGCTTTTATACCTACCAAGGGTATAAAAGCAGGGGCAGAAGGGCAGGAAGGGAGAACGTCGGAAGACACGAAGAGAGCTGTAACACTAGGTGTGCTGAGTCTGTTGTGGAAGAATAAAGGCTGTTCTCTGACTCTTCGTGGGCCGCTCGGTTCTTTCCCTGGTAAATGAACAAGAGCTGTAACACTAGCTGTACACACTGCCGCAACATTTACATACATCATACATATATATATATGTATATATACATGGACATATGTTTATATCTGTGTATTATTTTTATTGTAGTATATGACAAATACAGAAAGTATGCAAATCTGAAGAGTAGAGCTTAATACATTGTCAGAACCTAAATATACCATGGTGCACAACCATCTTGGTTCATAAATGGAACCTTATTAGTATCTTTGAAGTCTCTTTTATGCCCCCTCTGAGACTCAATCTTACAGATAGCTATTATCTTGAATGCTAACACCACAGATTCTTTTTACCTGCTTTTGCACATAAAAGGAATTATACAATACAAAGTACTTTGTGTCTGTCATCCTTTTTTGAAGTGGTGTTAGTAAAATTCCATCCATGTTGTACTTTCTAGCAGTAGTTTATTCATTTTTTCTACTATATGATATTCCATTTATTTGATAATTATTTATATACATGTGTATATATATATATATGCACACACACACATATCCAGAGAGAGAGGGATGGAGGGAGAGAGAAATCGAGTGTGCATGTATCATAGTCAGTTTACTCTTTATTGTTGTTTGAGTCATATGAGGCCATTATGGATAATGATCCTGTGAATATTTCTGTACATTATGAGCATTATGTACATGCCTCTGGGTGTGTGTGTGTGTGTGTCTGTTCGTTCCTCTTGGCTATACACCTATGAGTGGAATTACTATATGTTAGGGTAAGTAGATACTGAATTTTAATAGTGCCCTGAATTATTTTCCAAAGTGATATACCAATTTGAAAATTCCACTTCACAGTTTTTTTTAAAAAAATCAGATTCATATTTTTAAAATATTAGCCATTCTTGAAGATATTTTGATATGGCTTCAATATCCATTTCTCTGACAACCTTTGAGTTTGAGCACTGTCCATATGCATATATATTTATTGGTTATTTGCATGCTTTATTTTGTAAAGTGATCATTCAGGTTTTCCCCACTTACCTGATAGTTTTTTATGTCTTTTAAAAAATGTTTATGGGAATTGCTTATATTTTAGTTACTAGTACTTTGCTGTATATATACACATAAAGTATCAAAAAGTCAACCTACCAGGGCAACACCAGGTAGGTGTGATCCCAGTCAATAAATGGAAATGTGTATATTTTTCTGTCGTTCTGTGACTTGCTTTTGCACACTCTTAATTGTCTTTTTGCTGAACAGATGTTGTAGTGTGCTGTAGAAAAGGCTGTTGCCCCTTGCATATTGATGGTGCAGATTCCCATCCAGGGGTGGACATTCTGTTTCTTAGCTCTGGATCTGGGCTTGAGCACGTGATTTGCTTTGTCCAATGTGATGGTAGTAAATATGATGAAAGAAGAGACTTGAAAAGTACTTAAACGTTAGAACGAGCCTTCTCTGGTTGCTGGGATCCTTCTGACTTCCTGTGACCAAACCTGGCTTAGGCTCCTAGAGGATAAGAGACCACAAGCAGTGAGGTTCCTGCCTTCACAGCCTTCCCAGACATCTAAGCTGAGGCCCTAAGCGTGTGTGAAGCCCTCTATCATCCACCTTCACCCGAGTCAGCCAAGATCAGAAGAGCTGCTCAGACAATCCACAGAATGTCCAGCTCCAGCTCTCTGTTCCCCTTTCCTGCATTGAGAAGTTCAAGGGCATGGCACTGGCTTCTGAATAGGGCTTTCAGTCTGCATCACAGCATGGTAGAGAAGGTTAAGGGGGAAGCAGACACGTGTGAAAAGGAGAAAACCTGAGTGGTGTCCTAGCCTTATAACAGCCCACTCTCATGGGAACTAATTCATTCCCATAAGAACTACTCCAGTCTCTGGAGAGTGAGAACTCATTCGCTACCTTGAGAACAACACCAAGCCATTCATGAGGGATCCAACCCATAACCCAACCCTTCCCACCAGGTCCCACCTCCCAACATGCCACACTGGGCATCAAACTTCAACCTGAGTTTTTGTGGGGAAGAACAAACCATATCCGAATCATAGCCCCCTCTAGTGTGGCTTTTTTCAGTTCCATGGTGTCAGAGGGTGTCTAAACCTGACTTTCAAGTTCTGAAATATCCTCAAATGGATTCCTCTTTGTGGATAGCTACCAGTTGGATTTCTGTAAGGGAGACTGGAGCCAGGGAACCTCTATTCTGCCATCGTGCTGATATCACTCTTATTTTCTTCATGAAATATAACAGTATTTCAGTTTCTTAGCCAGCTTTGTTCATCTCTTTTGGGGTAATATGACTTTTTTTTTTTAATCAGTTGATGAGAAATACAAATCGACCGAAAAACCAAAGCCAATAAAAAAGAGAGCTCAAGCTGGAATTGATCCTGTTGCCTCTACAGCCAACAGAAATGATACTATGAAGCAACTCGCTACACCAGAAGTCACTCCTCAGGTTAAGGTAGGATGGGGCAGGTGGAGTGCCCTTAGTCCTTACCAGAAGAACACCTTCTGGTCACTGTCTCTGTCATTTCCCACATCGGGGCCCTGTGTTCTTTATCTCACAGCATCCAAATAAGGAAAACAAGGCAATAATATAAAAAGTATGTCAGGGTAACAAAAAGAAATTGCCTCAGGTTCATCAGATTAAACACATTTTGAGCTTTTAATCTCTGCCAGGCCCTGGACACATTAATACTTTGTTACAGGTTGGATTCCTTAAGAAGAAAACTCTGAATTGGACAGTTAGTGTCAGGAAGTATACCATAGAGTGCTTTCAGGATTAATATCTCTGAGGGAAAGGAAAAAGAAGGAAAAGAAGAAGGAAGAATTTCAAGTCCAGTGCAGTTACAGCCAAGACCTTAGCCTGTCCCACAGAGGCTTAGTGGCTGAGAAGTCCTTATAGGATTATCATGCTTTAGATGGAGGGGGAAGCCCTTCATACACCTGCATTGACCGAGGCGAAGTGGCCTTGCTTAGCTGAGGGAGCAATGTCTGGACTTGTTCTCCATGAGAATGATTGTCTTAGTCCTGGGGGAGCAGAAGGCAACTCTGAGAGTCTCACCACAGAATCTAGAATCCACACACACACGCAATCTGTACTTTTATTATGCATAGGGCCTCATAGGAATTTGGGGGAATCTGTGCAGATCACTCAACTCTTACTTTTATAGTAGAGTAAAATGAATATTCAAGATAATATTGGATGGAGAAACAAGGACATATTATGCCCTAATGGAATGAGTAGAAGAAAACAGGATCAGATTTATCCCTTTGCCTTAGCAATCTTTCAGAGATTCAGCGAACTCTTTACATACAGTAGATGGCAATGGAAAGATTCAGGCTCAGGGAGGCTGCCTCCAAAACCTGTTACACTGTCTTATATGAATATAGGAGTTGAAATCTTCCTTCTGCATTCTCTTTTCTATCTAGATAATACTAGGTCTCAAATCTCTTCTCCACCCCTCCTCATCTCCTACTTTGAGCCCACCTGTCTTCCTTTTGGCTGGCTTCCTAAAGTTTAACCTTGTGGGTAAAATAAGGTTCTCTTAGTAAGACCTTCTTTACTCACAGCTGGTATCTTTCTTCTGTTGTTCAGCCTAAGCAGAAACAGATGGTGGCCCAGCAGCAATCTGTCAGAAAAGGGTCGCAGAAAGGCTGTTTGACAGTCATGGTGCTGAAAGCAACAGAGCCCTTGGAGTTTGAGACTCAAGAAGGCAAGCAAGAGATGTTCCATGCTACGGTGGCCACAGAGAAGGAATTCTTTTTTGTAAAAGTTTTCTGTACACAGCTACAAGATAAATTCACGCCAAAGAGAATAATTACGATATCAAAATATTATCAGCACAGTGGTTTCCTGGAAGTGAATAGTGCCTCCTCTGTGTTTGATGCTGAATCTGACCAAAAGATCAGTGTCCCAGGCTCCATTATCAGGAAAGCAGGTGAAACTCCAAAGATCAACAAGCTTCAAACTCAGCCCATTGGAACCATTGTGAATGGGATATTTGTAGTCCAGAAGGTAAGTTCCTAGAAATAATTTTATATTGGATACTAAGAATAAAATATTTTTTTACCCTGAGCTTAAAGGGGCTTTAGAAATTAGTTATTTTACTGCTTTTCTATATAGATAAAATCTAAAACAAATAAACACCACAGTACCAAATAAAGAGTTAACATGCCAAAACTCACACAAAAACTCAGAAATAGCCTTTTTAGTCTCAAGAAGCTGTCACGATCCTGTCTCACCTTCTATTTATCCTTATAGCCTCTGGAAAGGGATTAATTACTTCATACTCAAACAATTTTCACCCTTTGGGTTATTTTTGGACTTCAGACAAATGACCTTTATTCTAAGTGACTATTATGAATGCAAAATAACTGTAGTTGGGTAATAAACCAGGTTAATTCTCCTGGAAAACCAATAAGCAGGGCAGGATTTCAAAAATTGTGATTAAATGCAAAAAATAGAAGAAAGAATTTGTTTAAAGAAGCTCGTTAGAAGTGAAAAATAATAAAATGTTATGATTCTGAGCTTCAGGGAATTGGCCTCGTGGATGACTTTTTCTGGCTTAGGACAGGACCTGAAGAACCATAGAGAGGTTCTTCTGCTGACCCTGCATTCAGAAAACTTAGGATAACCTTTGCTGTCCTGGGTTAGTTGCAGAAGAACTGATAGAAAGAATCTGTTCTCCTGGAAAATTCAAGAATAAATGACGTTGGATAAGAAAGCCATATTCTTTATCCTAGTTTTTAAAATTTTTTATTTCAGCATAATATGGGGGTACAAATGTTAAGGTTACATACATTGCTCTTGCCTCCCCCCCCCAACCCCTTTGGGTCTTTATCCTAGTTTCAAGCCTTCAGTATGGCCAGCCAACCACTAATATATATTCATTTAGCCCATAAAACTAAAGCTAAAATACAATTAATATCAATGTCCTAAGTAACTGAGAACCACCCTGCTCCCCTTTGATCTGAACTTGATTGTGAATTATTTTTTGTCCTTAATTCCTTACTTTTATTTAGACTCTTTACTAGGTCTTGCATCATTGCCTCGTGTCTCTCCTATTGCTTTAAATAACTCTCCCGCAACTGCAGGGTCATCTTCTCCCCTGACTATCCTGGCCTCTGGCCCTGGAGAAGCCCTCTCTTCTCCATCTACCAGTTGCTTCTATGGGCCATTCTTGTCTCCCAGAGGAAGGGAGCTTGGGACTGGAAAGACGGGACACAAAAAGCAACATGTTCTAAGTAAGACATATCTGCCTCCCCAATCTGAATTTGCTAACATTAGCTATATATTAGATATATACCTGCTAGTTTCAAAGCTGGATTTTTTTTTTACGCAGTTGACCTTTGAACAATTTCAGGATTAGGGCCGCCTGCCCCCCACACCCCCCACCCCCAGTCAAAAATCTCTGTATAGTTTTTGATGCCCCCAAAACTTATCTACTAATAGCCCACTGCTGACTGGAAGTCTTTCTAATAATGCAAAAAAGTCAGTTAGCACATATTTTGTATGTTACATATATTATATACTGTATTCTTACAATAAAGTAAGCTAGGTAAAAGAAAATGTTATTAAGAACATTGTAAGAAAAAGAAAATATATTTACTAATCATGAAGTGGCAGTGGATCATCATAAAGGTCTTAATACTCATTGTCTTATTGAGCAGGCTGAGAAGGAGAAGGAAGAGGAGAGGTGGGTCTTTCTTGCTGTCTTAGGGGTGGCAGAGGTGGAAAAAATTTCTGTATAAGAGGACTTATATGGTTCAAACCCATGTTGTTCAGGAGTCAACTGTATTTCTTTCTGGAGGCTTCATCTGGCATATCCGATATCTGATTGATGTGACATTTCTTAACCAAATTCTCAGAGATAGAATTGCTGTTGCTTTTCTTTTGCAGAAAACAGAACAGAAAGATTGTGTATTATTTGATGTAAATGACAACACAGGGAGCATGGAAATATTGGTGCTTAGAAAACAGAACAAAGAAGAATGTGAGGAAGGGGATAAGATTCGACTTACATTCTTTGAGCTGTCAAAAAGCGAAGAAAAACTACAGCTGAAATCTGGAGATCATAGCCTCATAAAGGTGGGAACTGCATAGAACAGTCAACTCTCCAAGGGGATGGTATTTTGTATTTTTTATCAGAAAGCTTGTCTGGTGCTATTGAACAGGATATGGAATGGAAGACCGTGTTATTTAGTACACCTAATGTCACAGAACCGAGGGACTTCCCTTGAGGAAATACACATCTTTGATACACAGTTAAGAGGACATGAGCTTTACGAGGTAGAGACACACGTTGTGGTGCCCACAGAGCCTGACAAAGAGTTCCTCAGTAATACTGCAAGGCTAATGTGGGCAGCTTGCCCAAAGTTGGACAAATTATTCTGACTAATGTATATAAAAGCAGACACAGACCATGAACCCATTGAGGATGCATTTCTCAGAGTCAATCCCAGCATTCCTGCACCTACCATAATCCAGGGCGATTGAGTCAGTGTAAACTTCTAGTCCTGTCTCTCTGTCACACCCTCACACCCATCCTTGGGCTGCACTTGGTGCTCTCCCCTGTGTCTCAGCATCGCTTGCAGGGCCTGCTGTCTCTCTTTGTGGGAGTGGAGGCAAAGACCTGAGAAATACATGCGTGTGCCCTTGTTAAGTAGGAGTGCATATCTCAGGCCAGATATTAACTTCTAGACAGTGATCCAAGAGGGAACAATGTGTCAGGAGGGTGGGAAGGAGATAATTTTAAGAAAAACACAAAGATAACAGTACACTTCTGAAGGACATAGTCACTGCAAGAAGAGGATGGTTAACTGATCGACTGCATCTCAGACTATATATTTTTTTCTCTTCCCAGGTTATTAAGACCAAAAAAGAAAAAAAATGAAAAGGACCAATTCAGGTCAACTGGTCTAAGCAACATTTAATTGAAGAAGATGTGATACAGCCTCTTCAATCAAATTGTGAGCTACCTGAGAACAGCAGCTCACAGGCTCTTCCCCCACCAAATTAGGATGCAGATAGGATAATGGCAGGATAAGCAACTACAAAATATCAATATGTTATCACAATAAAAGTTAATTTCTGATTCATTACAGCCCCTCAGTCTGTTTAGTTTACTAATTCCTGGTCTCAAGCTGAAATACTAACAATTTATTGGGTGTTTATAGCATATATAAAAGTAAGATGTATGTGAGAGGAGGGGAAGATGGAGGATTAGAAGCACCTCGTGCATGCACTGCATGAGAGAGGAGAGGATCGAAAGTTGCAGGTGGATACCCACCTACAGATGGTATTTCTTGGAAAGAACATTGGAAAGCCCTGAAGAAGTGACAAAGAACATTCAGAGTGAAGGAGAAGGTGACAGGGTGGATCATTCATCAAAGTTGAAGGGCTGTGGGGAGGGGGGGATCCACATGTGGAGAAGGTCAGGAGAATAGAGCCCTGGGGCACAACACTCACCCCTCAGGCACTACGGCCCGAGTTGTGAGGGTGCATCCTTCACCACCGCAGACCTCTGGACTGATCAGGGAGCTGCTTAGAGTCTGTGCAGAGACACACTGGAGAGCAGGCACAGCAGGGATCTGGTGGCTGCTCATCCTGGGTTTCTGCAGCTGGTGCCATCCTGAGCTCTCAGGTGCATGGGGTTTGTTTTTGCAGCAGTTGTCTGTCTTTGCATAACCCTGCTGAGCCAGGGAGGGAGCAAGCAGAGCAGATGCTCCCCATGTCATGCCCTGTGCCTGGGACCCAAGTGCTCTTACCTCCCAGTATGGTATCTGAGCATTGGAGGTGCCTCCCCAACTTGAACTTCCAGCAGTGATCTGGAGAACAATCCACCACTCCACACAAAGATTATCCAGCACTGGTATGAACTGTGGAAATCACAGGGGAAGGGGATAAAACAAAATAGCTGCACTATAGGCTTTCAGCGCACCTGCCTTGCCCCTGCTGGGTCAGCATTCCACAGTAGGACATAAATGCGTCCCGTAGGGACATCTCCTTCTTCTAACTAAGCAGGAGAATTCACGGCAAAGGAGAACAGGTACCCTGTAATCCTAGTAGCCCTGAGCTAACAGAATAGGATTCAGATGAGAAATAAAAGCAGCAAAAGAACCCTGGCAACATGAAAAAACAAAACAATTCAGTACCCCCAAGGGATCACAATGGAGCTACAGTAGTGGATTCTAACCAAAAGGAAATTGTTGAAATAACAGAAGTGGAATTCAGAATATGGATGGCAAATAAGATGAATGGAATTTAAGAGAAACTTGAAAACAAACAAAAATAAGCCAAAAATACTTTTAGTAAATCAATGAACAAAATGAAAAAGTCTCTAAAGAGGTACACAACATAAGGAAGGATATAAAACAACTTAAAGAAATGAAAGAGTCATTAACAGAATATCAAAGCACAGCAGGAAGCTTCCACAACAGACTAAACCAAGGAGAAGAAAGAATCTCAGAGCTTGAACAAGGCTCTTGAGCTAACCCAGTCATTCAAAGAGGCAGAAAAGAGAATAAAAAAGAAAGAAATCACTTAGATAGGGACTACAGAAAGCAAGCTAATATACAAACTATAGGTATCTCTGAGGGAGAAGAAGAAAGAGCAAAAAGCATGGAAAATCTATTCAAGAGAACTATTGAGGAAAATTTCCCTGGTATCACCAGAGATTCAGACATCCACATTCAAGATGGTCATCAAACACTGGGAAGATTCATAGCAAACAAGACATCTCCAAGGTACATAGTAATCAACCTGACCAAAGTTAAAATGAAGGAGAAAATTCTACAAGCAGCAAGATGAAAGCAACAACTAACCATCAAAGGAAAACTCATTAGGCGAACTGCAGGCTTCTCAGTGGAGATCTTATAAACCAAAAGGGATTAGGCTCCCATTTTCAGTCTTCTTAAACAGAACAACCACTAACCTAGAAATTTGTATTCTGAAAAACTAAGTTTCATAATTGACATAAAAATAAAGACTTTTCCTTACAATCAAACACTGAGGGAATTAATGATGACCAGACCAGCCCAATCAAAGACTAAATACCATTCACAATAGCTACAAAGAAAATGAAATATTTAGGGATACACTTAACTAAGAAGGTGAAAGATCTCTACAAGGAGAACTATGAAATACTGATGAAAGAAATTGCAGATCACATAAACAAATGGAAAAATATGTTATGCTCATAGATTGGTAGAATCGACATTGTTAAAAATGTCCACACTGCCCACTGTCCACACTGTGATTTATAAATTCAATGCAATCCCCATCAAAATACCAAAATCATATTTCACAGATCTAGAAAAAACATAATTCTATGCTTTGTTTGGAACCAAAAAATGGCCAAATAGCCAAAGCAATCATGAGCAAAAAGAACAAATCTGGAGGCATCACATTACCAGACTTCAAACTAGACTACAAAGGTATAGTGACCAAAGCATGGTATTGGTACAAAAATGAGACACAGACCAATGGAGCAGAACAGAGAACCCAGATATAAAGCCACCTACTTACAACCAACTGATCTTTGACAAGGCAGACAACAACATATGCTAGGGAATTTAAGCCCTATTCAAGAACTGGTGCTGGAAAAATTGGACATGCACATGCAGAAGAATGAAACAGGAAAACTATCTCTCACCATTTGCAAAAATTAATTCAAGATGGATAAAAGATTGAAATGTAAGACATGAAACTATAAATATTCTAGTAGAAAATGTAGGGAAAACTTTTCTAGATATTGGCGTAGGCAAAGAATTTATTACTGAGACCCCAAGGGCAATTACAGCAACAACAAAAATAAATAAGTGGGGCTTGATTAAATTAAAAAGCTCCTGCACAGCAAAGGAAATGATGAACAGAGCAAATAGGCAACCTACAGAATGTGAGAAAATGTTTGCAAACTATACATCTGAGAATGGGCTAATATCCAGAATCTACAAAGAACTCAAATCAGCAAGGAGAAAACAAACAACCCCATTAAAAATTAGGCAAAAGACACAAACAGAAGTTTTTGAAAAGAAGATAGACAAATGGCCAACAAACATATTAAAAAATGCTCAACATTACTAATCATCAGGAAAATGCAAATTAAAACCACAGTGAGATATCTACTTACCCCATCAGAATGGCCGTTATTAAAAAGTCAAAAAATAATAGATGCTGGTATGGATGCAGAGAGAAAGAAACGCTTATACACTATTAGTTGGAGTGCAAATTAGTACAACCTCTATGGAAAACAGTATAGAGTTTCTTCAAAGAAATAAATACAGACTTAGTATTCAATTTAGCAATCCCACTATTGCATATGTACCCCATAGGAAAAGAAATCATTTTATCAAAAAGACACCTGTAGTCAAATGTTTATTGTAGCACAATTCACAATTGCAAAGATGTGGAATCAACCCAAGTGCCAATTAATTCATGAGTGGATTAACAAAATGTGTTATATATACAGTACACTATGGAGTACTTCTCAGCCATAAAAAGAAATGAATCAATGTCTTATGCAGCAATTTGGATAGACTGGAGATCATTATCCTAAGTGAAGTATCTCAGGAATGGGAAAACAAACACTACATGTAGTCTGTAATGATTTGGAACTAGTCAATGGGCACAGAGAGAAGTAAAAGTCATCAGAAGTCAAGAACAAGGCAAGGGGGAGGAAGTGAGAGGTAAAAACTTACCTAACAGGTACAATGAATACTATTCAGCTGATGGACACACTAATAGCCCAGACTTAAGCATTATAAAAGCCATTCACATAACAAAAACATTTGTACCCCCTCAATATTTTGAAAAAAAAAAGTATATGGCAAAACAATAACACAAAATATGAGAGGAAGGAATTAGCAGTATACTATTGAAAGGTCCTTATACAACATGTGAAGCAGCACAATGTTATTTGAAAGTAGATTCTGTAAATTTAAAGGTGTATGTTGTGAACTTTGAGGCAATGACTAAAAATATTTTTAAGAGAGACATAAATGATAAGACATTTTGTGATATTGGGGAAAGGATAGGCATAAAGACCAATGGAAGACCATAGAGTCCAAAAATTGGCCCACACATTTACATTCTATTGATTTTTCTACAGAAGTACAAACACAATTCATGGAAAAAGGATAATTTTTCAAAAAAATCACAGTGGAAAAATTGGGTATCCCTGCTAAAAAAAAATTAATCTGAGCTATGCCTTATTCTCTATATAAAAGTTAGCTCAAAATCAATCATTGGCTTAAATGTAAAACGCTAAAACTATAAAATTTCTAGAAGAAAAAACAGGAGAAAAATATCTGTGGCCTTGGTTTGGGAAAAGATTTCTTAGTATGATATCAAAAGCACAATCTTATACCAGATAAATTTTTAATAATTTGAACTTCATCAAAATGAATAACTTCTACTTTTCAAAAGTTATCTTTAAGAACATTGAAAAGCAAGACATAGGTTGGGGCTTAATATTTGCTAGTCATGTAGTTACTAAAGACCTTTTATTCAGAATTTAAAAAGAACTGTCAAAATCCAATAATATGAGAACAACCAACTAAACTTTTTAAATGGAAAAAAAAATGATATGTGGATGACAAGCACATAAAAGATACTCAGTGTAATTCATCTTTAGGGAAATATAAATTAAAACTTCAACGAGATATCACTATACACTTATTAGAATGCTAAAATTAAAATTGATTGACCACACCAAGTGCTAACAAAGACATAGAAAAACTGAAACTATTATACAGTGCTGGTGGGAATGTCAAATGGTGAAACCCTTTGCAAAAGAGTTTGGCAGTTCTTAAAATGTTTATTAATATGCACCTACCATGCTAAGTTCTGAGGATGATGCAGAGCAACTGAAACTCTCATTGCTGGTGGGAATGGAAAATCTTACACTTTAGAAAACAGTTGGGCAAATCTTATAAGTTTAAATATACACTTACCATACGACCTGGTAATCTTGCTCTAAATGTTTTTATCCACTTGAAATGATAATGTTGTTCACACAAAAATCTGTATGTGAATACTTATGAAAGTTTCATTTGTAATCATGTAGTGTAATTATATGTATTTAAATAACCCAATTGTCCCTCACCTGAAGAGTTGATAAACAAACTTTGGTAGAGCCACACAATTGAACTCTACTCAACAATAAAAATGAATAAACTATTAATACATACACTACATGGATGAATCTCTCTTTTTTTCTTTCTTTTTCTTTTCTTTTCTCTCTTTTTTTTTCTTTGAGGCAGAGTCTTGCTCTGTTGCCAGGGCTAGAGTGCCGTGGCGTCAGCCTAGCTCACAGCAACCTCAAACTCCTGGGCTCGAGCGATCCTTCTGCCTCAGACTCCCGAGTAGCTAGGACTACAGGCATGTACCACCATGCCTGGCTAATTTTTTCTATATATTTTAGCTGTCCAAGTAATTTCTTTCTATTTTTAGTAGACAGGATCTCGCTTTTGCTCAGGTTGGTTTCGTATTCCTGACCTTGAGTGATCCTCCAGCCTCAGCCTTCCAGAGTGCTAGGATCACAGGTGTGAGCCACCACGCCCACCTGGATGAATTTCTTTTTCCCCTCAGAATAATATTTTATTTATTTGTTTATTTATTTTATTTTGTTTTTTATTTTGGAATACTACAGGGCTACAAATGTTTTGGTTACATGGATTGTTTTTGTACTGCTTGAGTCAAAGTTATAAGTGTGCACATCACCCAGATAGTGTACACTGTACCCATTAGGTATGATTTCACCCATTTCCTCTTCCTCCCTCCCACCTGCTTGGATTCCGTTCAGTTTTGTTTTGATCTGTGCACATGAGTGCTGATCAGTTAGTTCCAATTTAATAGAGAGTGGTGTTTATTTTTCCATTTTTGCGAGACTTCACTCAGAATAATGCTCTCCAGTTCCATCCAGATTGTTACAAAAGGTATTAATTCATTTTTTATGGCTGAATAGTACTTTATGGTATACATATTCCACATTTTATTAATTCGCTCATGAACTGACGGACACTACATGGATTAATTTTAAATGTAGTAGATACTAAGTGAAAAAAATCAGACTCAAGATTCTACATACATTTTAATTTCATTTTATGACATTCTGGTAAAGGCAAAAGTGTAAGTAAAGACTAGATCAGTGGTTGCCAGGAGCCTGGAATTGGAGGAAGACTTGACAACAAAATAGCATGAAGGAGGAAATTTTTACTATGATGAAACTATTCTGTATCTTGATTTTGGTAGTGGGTGCATGATTGTATGCTTTTGTAAAAACTCACAAAACTTTCCATTAATAAGAGTAAATCTTTAAAGTACCTAGGAATATATTTAACCAAAGAGGTAAAAGACCTCTACAGGGAGAACTATGAAACACTGAGGAAGGAAATAGCAGAGGATGTAAACAGATGGAAATCCATACCATGCTCGTGGATCGGCAGACTCAATATCGTCAAAATGTCTATACTACCCAAACTGATCTACAGATTCAATGCAATACCTATTAAAATCCCATCAGCATTCTTCA